ACGCCCACGCGCACCGTGCGCAGCCCGCGCGCCAGAAGGTCCGCGGCGTCTCAAAGGCGACCGTCCCCAGGCGGGCCGCGAACCCGCGGGCCGCGAACCCTCTTCCCGCGACCGCCCGCGCCGCGATCCAGGAGGATACTGCGGTCGGGGCTCGTCCCGCGCGCCGCCTCTGGGTCCTAGAGCCCGTTGGCCCACGCACGCGTGGAAAACGGGTCGCGTCCCTTTGAAAAGCTACAGCCAATGGTGCTTAGAATTAGGGCGGGACGCCTTTCAGCCTAGTAGGCCTAGGAAACTTCTCATTCTCCAAGGACCAGCGTTTCCGGTCATTTAAAAACACCCCGACCAAAGAGATGCTTTTGAAATGACAAGTTTGTCATGCACCCAGGAAGTACCTTTCTCTGGGCCAACTAAGCATGCCCCTTAGGCTTCCAAATACAGTGGTCCAAAGCATTGCCTCCAGTGGTGAAAGACCATCAGAGATAACCTTTAAAAGCCAACGCCTTTCTCAGAAAAACTACCTAATTTTTTTTTTCTCTATAACTGTGACTAACCCAGTCAGAGCAAAGGCCAGGGCCTAATAAGGAAAAGGTTTTCTAGTCCAGCACATGCTGTCTTGTGCCTGCGCCAGCACTAACACAATTCCCTTTTCCTTACTGAACTTCTGACAAACCTTGTGGGCATCAGGACGGGCTCTGCCCATCTCTGTTTCTTGGAGTTTGGACAGTCACTAACTCTTTAAAACCCAGGGCCTTTGCTTTAACAATGACATAAACTAGATGATTCCACCATCTTCGGCATCTCTGGCGTTTTTTTCTATTTAGGAAAACATCAACACAAATAGAATGTGAAGATTCAGTAAGAATCAAGGCTAAAATTGCAGAGGGAGAGATGAAGCCTTTTCCCTTCATTCTTGTGTGGCATGGGGAAATCTATTTATAAGGGTTAAGATGAGGATTCAGTCAACAGCTGAGAGGGACCAGGCCCATTCTCTAAAAGGATTACTAATGTCTATTTATAGAACTCAGCAGGCCACCCTGTCCTGGATCAAGACACACACAGTTACAAATACAGAATAGGCAACAACACTCCAGAGTATCTGTGTAGTAGTTTATTTGACATAATCTTAAATTGTAAAGGAAAAAGTAGCTTAGAATTATTACTTAGAACACAATCAATACTTAGCATTAGGTTTTAAGGCAAAGGATTATCACAGGTTTTATATGAGTAAGTAGACTGTACAGAAATGTGGGGGTGGGTAACAAGCCATAACATAATATCACTTTAAACACTATATGACAAATTATTTTCTACAGTACAAAACTAACACGGAAAACACATTTGGAAAGATCACAGTGCTTAGAACATTGAAACATTAGTTTTATAAACAGTAAGGTGCATTTTTAAGCTTCTGACTCAATCCTGCTGCTAATGTGGTTTCATTTGATCTTGCAGTGGCTGTGAGCAAACACCCCTTCCCTAGCATGAGAAAGAAGGCCACTGTAGCACTACCCCTCCAGGGACAACCAATAACAAAAGCTAACATCTGAGGAGCATTCAAATCTGATCCAACGGGGCTGCACACCTTGCCCAGCAACCATTTCTTTATATTATCATTTGTTGATTTGTTCTTGAGAATGATGAGTACATTCAAGTTCATGATTGCTAGTTTCCCTGTCAAATACCTACATGGATTTTACTAAAGATCAAGTTACTGTCACTCATGTACCGCATTCTACTTTCTTGCTATAACTGAAATACCCATTATTTTCCTAAACATTACAGAAAGTGGTTTTTGGCATAATATGTAACATACCAGAATACATGAGAATTTGTTTTGTTTTGTTATAAAATACAGTACTCCAACACTGTGATATAGCTAAATATCTGACAGAATGTTCTGCTCCTAATTTAGAACTAAATGCCACAGACATGTCTTTAAAGTGCCTCAAAGTAATTCCAAAAGAAATGTAAGAATGAATAAGAGGTCATAGAACCTGTTTTTGGCAAAAAGGCATTTTTGAACAAGGCTCTCATTTCTTGTGCAAGATGTTCAAAAATTTACTTACATATATCAGATAACTGGTGTTATATTTAATTCTAATAAGAATTAGTATAATTTTAAAGGAATGATAACTAACCTGTTATCTGGCATTTTTTTTATAGTTTTATGTTTTTTACTTTACATTTTTGCTGAGACAAATATGTTGCAAAGAGTACAATTTTATTAAAATCACTATTATATTGAGCAGTTCTTCAAAATTCAATAATACTTTAAGTAATACTATATTTATTCCTAGACCTAATTAGGAATGAGCAGTTACAGTCTATGACATATTTTGTTTTTTTTACATCTCCCAAAATAATTAAGGAATTGTACTAGTTTACTGCTTGTGAAATGTACTTGTAAGAAGGGGAGCTTTTTTCTCCAATGATACAATCATATTTCTGTAAGTATTGTCAATTGTGCAAAAACATTTTTTTGTGAAGTAAATTCTATTTACGTGGGAAATGCACAATCTAACACTAACACGTGGTGCTTGACAATTCCCCAACATATGGCTTTGCAAAGTTTCCTCTATTAATGGGATTCTACAAAATCCATTAAAAAATTTTAGCGCCATTAAGTCATGAGATTAAAATTCAGACCTCCCAAGTAGATCTCCCCAAGATGTTAAAAGTTGGGGAAGCTGTTACCTTTGTGGGGAATGGGCAGCCCTTCTTTTCCAGAGATATTATAAAGGCAAACTTTTGCACTTAGAATGTTCCATTCCTACTCTCCTGGAGAGTCTATATAAAAACTAATGGTATCCTTTGCATGTTCAAGGGCAAAGGGCTGCTACAGTCCTCAAAGACATCTCTAATACTGAAATAATAAAGTCTTACAAAATGTTCATTTAAATCAACCTTATTTGAATACATCCACTTGGACTAAATTCAGCGACAGAAGGTATTTTATTGGTAAGTGCTACTTTATCACAGATCATAAAACAAACCCTGGAGGAGGGGGAAGTTATCAGAAGTGCCATTAAAACAAAGACAAAAGATCATTTGCTAAAGATTGACAACTGTATAGGCTATATCTCCTCTAAAGGGATCACTACTTCACAGCTACTTTACACAAGAACAGTTACAAGAACAATGAACCTTAAAACATGAAATAACACCACACACAAAAGACCAAAATAAAGCATCTGCAGAAGCAATGTTATTCTACTTAGGAAACTATTCTGCATTTACACATATATGCATTCAGATGTTTCTCCTCTCACTTTTGAGAGTGCTCATAATTTCACAAAGAATGAGAGGAAGATGTGTTGTTCTTGGGTACTTTCTGAAGGCTAGCATTCATATCCAAGACATTAAAGCCATCTGCTGGTTTCAGTTTAGTTGATGGTTCCAGAACAAGAAGATAGAGCTTGGCTCTCAGGTGATTTTCAAGACAAAGAATATTCAAAGATAGGTTCCAAAGAGAGGGGGAGGAGAAGACACATAACTTATTTTTTGCAGAGACACTTGTGGCAATTTCCAGAATTCTTGCCCCAAACGTATAGTAAAGAATGACTTTAGGTCTTTGTCAGGGCAAGATAATTTAGTAAGGGTGGATACTCTAGGACATAATTATTGTGCTGGTATCTTTATGGGACTGGAGGGGAGGTAGGAGAAGAGGGTGTTACCACTCTATATAGAGAAAAACATATAAGCATACCATAAATGTACTGTGCCTGACTGTGTTTTTACAGTGGTAGCTAGGTAACAGTGATAGTCAGGAGGCTAAACCTTAAAGACACAGAACTCAACAACCTCTAACAGGTGGCTTTACTCAGGAGAGTTTTCTGTGTCTGTGGCATGCTCATGCACCATGTAATTCTCCATGCGGGGATACAAGACTAGAACTTTCCTTACCCTATTTTGTCAGAGAATGCACTTTTCACACAGGCAACGCTTGCAATGACACAAAACAATATATGCTTTAAGAAGACCTTATTAATACTGTATAAACAGAAGGGATGCTAGCCTTTTCTGTCCATACAGCAGCCAACTCACGTCTGGTTCTTGGGCACTTCAAAGGTGGCTAATCTGACTTGAAATGTGCAGTAATATAAAATGCACACTAGATTTTGAAGAGTCAATGTAAAACAAGGTCAAATATTTTGTATAGATGGGTTAATTAACCATACTACATATATTCACCACTGACACCCCTCACCAAAGAATAAAAAAAGGGGTGATTTGGTTTTCATGTGAAGTAATTTTTCAAATTCCATTCAGAGAGGTGAAAAACTGAGACACAAAGGCAAAAGATGATACAAAACATCCTGCAGGTAAGGGACTGTGCAGTTTGGGGAGGAGTCTAAAGGATGACAAGGTTCAATACTTTAAGAAAATATAGGAAAAGAAAACATTTCAAAATCCTAAAGGCACTATCCATCAAGGCTTAGTTCATTAGCACTTTCAATTAAAGAAATAAGGGGAAACAGGACACCCCAACTTTCAGATTTATAATGCTGGAGGCCCATATACTTAATGTAGCATCCTTTTTTTTTTTTTTTTTTTCACAACAGCACTTATCAAAAGACCAGATTTCCTTATGGAGAAAAAGCAGGATGTGTATATTCATGCACAGTCACACTCAGAGAAAGCTATGACCTCACTTTGAAATGGGCCTAATTCCTTCTGCTGCTGACCCTGAGGTCAGCCCTTCTGTCCAGAGGGGGAGTCCAGCCTTATTGAACCTGAGCTCTTAGCTACCAACTGACATGGATGGAAGAAACAAAGAGAAAACCTGCCCTCCCAGAAGAGAGAAAGCCACATGATTAAGCAGGTAAAGGAAAAGACATATCCGAATGTATTATTTAAAAGGGAGAGGAAGACAGGGAGTTGCTGAATCAGAGGGGTTTGAGATTAGAAGCCCTGGGGAGCAATAAAACCCATGAGTAGGACAGGGCTGATCCTTAGAGCATGCAGTGTACATTCTCAGTTCCGGCTGAAATGCTGAGCGGCAGCACACCCCTTTGCCTGTGTTATCATTTGCTTTCCTTGCCAAGTGTATGCTAGGAACACATAGCCTTGGGGAATGGGAGGCTATTAATTTGGGACAATGTTCAATAAATAACCCAGGTCCCCAAAGGCCTTATACACAATTGAAAGTATATTTCTATATGTGACCCAGATCCTTTTTGCTAAGCAAACCTGGACCACCAGCTCTTTTTGTTACATTACTAACACTGTCAACCTTTGTTTCCAGCAAGCAAAGTAAATATTTGCATTAAAGCAAAAGCACTAATCCTATGCACTAAGCCCCAGAGAAATGTGAGCTCTTACAAGGCACAAATGCTACAGTCAGGACTGGTTCTAGAATCCACGGATAGAGATTTCATTTGGTTGAAATGCTTGTTTGAAGTCATAACTGAACACGGCTTTCTGTACACGTAGTAGGCCTTTAAACTATAGCTTCTCTTTTAAGTATATAAAGGGCCTGCAATATTCTCATATACCTGGTTTATTATTGACAGTCTTGTTAGGTGGATGATGGTAATTATAGTAGTCCATGGAAATGGCAGAACACGACTTTGAGATTTTCAACACAGAGCTCTTTGCATTACTGTTTTTTTTTTCTCCTTTAGTCATGTGCTTCCTTAACATGCATATAAATCACAAACTTAACATCTGTTGCAGTGAAATTATTGAGGTCTGTTCTCTACAGAAACTGAAACAATTTGAATACCATCTTGATTAAAATCTTAGTGTGTCCAAGAAAATTAAGGCTGTAAATTGCCATGGAAGAATTCCAATATAGCATAGAAAACGAAAATGACTCTGTTCCTTGAATTATCAGAAAATGAACAGTACCCTATTGATAGTGTAGTCAATAACCTGAAGAATCACAAGGTAAAATATGCAATCAAACCCTGCCCTTGGTTATCAGGTTAGAAATGGAACAAAAAAATAAAAACTAATGACCCAAATGGGATTGGGTAAAATAAAGATAGATAATATTTTGGAGTATGTATGGAAGAGAAGTTATGCAATTGTGTTCATGAAACAAACACAGACTTGTATTATTTTTCCAAACTTTCCTGTTCTCAAAGTATAAAGTGATTTCCCCATTATTAAGAGATTAATTCCATGTAAATTAAAATATTTCTACTGTTATCTCCAGGGATTATAGTAGTTCATGCCACATAGAATAAATTATATTAAAGTTAAGCTGGAGTGTGAAAATGGCCCATAGCCTTCAATAGGCAACATACTCAAGCTTTATTCAGAAAAGAATGTCACTGCATGGAAAATAACAAGCTTGTTAGTTAATTAAAAAAGAAGTGACATGTCACACTTTTCCTACAGCAACACGTAAGGGTCTTTTCCCACCCCCTCCCCCTTCTTAGGAAAATAGAGTAGAAAATCACCTTCCCAAACTTTTAACTCCACTCTTTCAGGAATATGAAAACTTTCAGCAGTTCAAGTGCGAAAGATGCGGATCCTGCTTTCTAATTTAGTCAAGTGTCAAAGCATAAAGACATGCTCAAACGCAGGCTTTGCTTGCACTAGGCACACAAAAGAGTTGTTGTCACAATGTTCACACAACAATGTCATGGTCACTCTACTGACCCAAGGAAGGTGAGCAGGCGGGAGTTCAGCTGTTTTGGAGTTCTCAGGTCAAAGTGATACATTGAATAGGTAGTACTCTATGTTTTAGAGCTCAAGGATGAATAGTTGAACAAACAGAAGGCAAGTTCCAGGGATATTTCATCCACTGCTGTAATCAGATGCTAGTCTAGAATACTGGATATATACTTGAAAAGTGAAAGCCCGGGGTCTCAATCCTCATTCTGTGCCCCCCTAGCTGTGAGACTTTGGATCAATTATTTAAAACACCTTAGGTGGTTGATGGATCCTGAAAAAAGCATGTGTTCCCTAAAAACCCCTTGACTGTCCACAGGGATCAAATAAAATGAATTTAAACACAGATGATGAAAGGCAGGTAACACTCTCATTTCCAAAGGAGAATATTTTGTAAAGGCATTTTGCTTTAAGACTGTGAGACATCCTTGACAATAAATGAAAATACATCTGCAACCTAACTTTGGGAGTCATCTAAGAGCTACTCTTCACGTGGTATTGCCCCAAATTGAGTATTTGCAAAGATAAACAACTGAAACCAATTTTACATATTTATATCTGAGGATATAAAGATGAGCTAAAAAGGTATATGCGTTTAAAGCCATCTTGTCCTAGGTTATGATGGGTAGAAACATAAAGTGTCATAAAATTACTAAGGTGCTTCTTACTTATTTTTCAACCACATATTCTTTTTTGAGAAGCTGTTGGATGTTAGAGATCCTCTTTCTAGAAAAATAAACACACACAAACACACAAATAGTTGCTCCCAACTCCTCCCAAAGTTTATCTATGAATCAAGAAGTTAGGCTTAATGAATTAAATAAGTGCTTGGGTTTACATGGGAATAGAAATAGAATATATGTATATATGTTCTCTGTATGATAGAATATATTCTACATCTATCACATATATATGCTAATTTTAAATACTATTTAAATAAGTGTTAAATCTTATACAATACACAATGTCCTCTTCACCTTAATAGATGAAAAAGCCAATGATCAAATTCTAGGAAAGGGATAAACTCATGTTTGCATGTTTAAATGACAGATACTCCTACAGTATTTTGCAAACCACTACTTACTTGAAGTAGTTTTACAACTTTTATGTGTTTACATAGAAGGGCTGAATTTAACACAACTTGACTCAGTGGGTCTTGTAAACAGTGCCTATGGAGCCTGTGTGTTAGCAGGTAAGGTGCTCAGTCATGGCATTCACTCATATCTAAATCTAATAGTATAACATCGAGCAACAATCACTGGCTCTTTCACAGATTGCGTCTGTCTGTCCCAGGGGACACGGTATTCAACCAAAGGCAGCAACAACACACCTCTGCAGCAGTTACCCTGATCCTTGAGATGAGTGAGATTTTACTCGAAGTCTATTTTACAGTTCAGCTAATAGCATCATAGGGATTACATAAGCATTTTAGAAATGACTAACAACAGACAATACACAACTCACATTTCAATTTGAGTATAACACTTGACAGCAAAACTTGCTACAGTATTTGCTAGCCTATGACTTTTACTATCTAATTAAGCTTTACTGAAGAAAAAGGAACCAGGAAAAAGAGATGCTCTAAGGCCTAAGGAAACTTTGAATCTCAGGGTTTAAACTAAGTTATGATATGATTTTTTAAAGTGCCCAAGGTAATGATAAAAAATAGAGATTCACCTGCAAATGTTTCCATTCTGTAAAAATCGTGCATTTCAATAAGTAAAGGCATAGGACAACCAAGAATTTCCTTTTTTTGTCCTTTAGTGACCTGACACCTCATCCCTCCTCGCAGTTTTCAGCTGGAAAATTACTTATTTTTTTGATCAGCTTTATATCTGAATTTAGGAGTAGAGGGTACCAACAGTCAAATTCCCTCTCCAACTACAGAGGCATTTTACTGCCACTGTCCACATTTCAGCTTTGTTTTATATGCCACACTGGAAAATAGATGTTTTCTTTCCCTTCTTCCTCTGCACACTGATTCACACTGACTTCCTGAACTATTAAATCTCTATGAATTTAAGAAGAGTTGTGGTGTCATTGTTTATGAGGGCCTCAACTGTTCTCCCTCAGGTCTGGTATCATGTTGCCTTCACCTGCCTGTTCCCTTCCTTCCTTTGGGCGGCAATGTTAAGGCTCATGGCTGTGATACCATTGATTGTGGCTTATGTGGCAATTGCCTCAGGTAGGCTCAGGAAATCTCAGGGACCTTCTGCAGGGTCACAGTGGGAGACGGAGCCTTCTAAACAAAGACACTGAAGAGAGGGAACTCAGCCTGATTGGGATGCAGTAGATCTATCAGAAAGCACACTGTCCCGGAGAAGCCTTCGTACAAGCTGTATATACTTTCCAGGACGCGAGAACCAGCCTTGAATTCCTCAGTAAATAGAAATTCAGCAAACCTAAGAAAAGGAGAAAATACAAACAGTTTTAAGATGAGGGTTTTCATGGCCGGCCCAAACTGGCATCAGTTATGTGAAAACCAACAAGACTGAAAACCCACTCAAACTGGGGTTTCCGTCTCCCGGGGAAATACACTCTTAGCTGTTCAGTGTGGAATTTTTATTGATCTGCAACAGTAAGGTAATTTTTTACCTTCCCCAAGATAAGATGAGAAAGTACCACATTTCCTTTTTTTCCATTCCCCGTAGGTAGATCACCTAAGCCTGAAAAATATATATATTTTTTCACTTATCACCTCCTTGTATTACCTTTCCCTTTGTATAGTCCTTTAGTTCTCTCCTCTGCTTGCTAGATGGAATGCTGCCTGATTCATGGATCATTTAATCAAGGCAATCAGATCTACGAATTTGCTAGCTGGATTTCAGTTTTAACACCCTATTCTTGATTTTGAGTGGTTTCTTGCCCTCTCTGCTAAGCTCAAATTTTAACATCAGTTTCTTTCCAGAATGCTGTGATATTTTAAGAAAGCTTCTTTCCCTCTGTTACAAAAAGAATCTGTTATATAATTATGTATGTTTTACAACAAATTATGTTGGCAAGCAAATTCACTTATTTTTGCATAGCAAAGCAGCTTGGCATTTTCAAAGGATTTCATTCCCTCTTTTATCAATAATTAAAAAGTGAAAAAGATATAAATTCTCATATATTTATCATGAATAGAAGTCAGCTGATATGTGACTGTTCCTTTAAGAGAATAAAGCTGCTATGTTTCTGCAGGTATATTATTCCTGAGTTTGGTTTCACTTATAGGTGACAGCGAGAAGAGACAGTGAAAATAAATGGGCAGGATTTTATACTATCTGTGCTTTGGGCAAACAAAGGAGTAAGATGAATGGGAAAAGGCAAGCAACATTTTATAATCATGACATCAAATAGCAAACTGAGCTACAAGATAGATTATTTGTAGGACATCCACCTTAAAAATAAATCATCAGCCTCAAATTTCTCTTTTTCCTGTATTTGCCACAAATCTTATTCAAATTATTTATAACGAGTAACATTTTCAGCAGTCTGCAGCTTTTATAGTGCTGTCATCCATGTCATCTCCCCACTGACTTGCTCGACTGCTTCCCATCAATAACAAAAAAACCCAGCAATTCAGAGGCTAGAACACACAGGTTGGTAAGGTTTGAGAACTGAGACCTCCCTCATAAATTTAGATTATTGCTTCTACTTAGGGGGTCCTATGAAAAGTAATTACTTATTTGATCTTTTTTAAGGCTCTTGGAACTACTGACAGCGGCTTAAATGAATCAGCAGGAAACATATTGCCATTCTTTTTGGTACAAGTTCTCTATCAACTGTTTTTCTGAATGTGCAATAGTTTTTAAAAGGAATTAAAAATTTTTAGATAATAGAATAATGATGCATCTTAAGAGTTGATTAAAATTTTGCAGTTATACAATGAGGCTATATAAGTTATACAAATGAAGCTATTCCCATCATCCACAGCACTACATAAGAAGAGCTCAAGGACTCTTAACCTTTTTAGCACTATGGATCACTTGGTAGTCTAGATTCCTCAGGAAAAATGTTTCCAAACATATAAAATAATATACATAGTCTCTCCCCCCCAAATTAATGATATTAAAGGAGAATTCATAAACATTTTGAAACCAAATTTGTGATATAATTATATATGTATTCTTTATTAACACATTAAATAACAAAACCTAGGAAGTACTAACATATGTAAGTAGTGATGGATGAAAGTAAAATACATTTCATAATATCTGCAATAGAAATAAAAATATCTATGGCTTCTATTGGTGACAGTGTCAGAGCTCCAGTTAATTCTCCTGTGGCTTATTACTTACAGTCAGTATGAAAGGATGGAGATACTTATTTTTCTCAGGTAAATTTACAAAAACGACCTTAAGAAATCCTGATGTAGAAAGAGGAAGGGCTTTGGAGTTGCTAAAAGATACCCAAACTGATAATTTCAAGTTATATGAAATTTCTCTATAGCATTTTAAATTTCTCAAACTCACTTTAAAATAGTGAAGCTGCAGAATTGCATAAGACTATGTGTAAAGATTAAAGATACCATATGTCAGACTTGAGTATATAACAAGTATGGGGGAGCAAAATTTGTTACACCCAAAATGAATACTTCGTATGAGGATTATTTGGGGCTGATTATTTTTTATAAAGATTTATTTGTTTATGTATACAGAACTGGGATACAGGCCAGAGGTGCAGGGGCAGGGAGAGGATTCACCAGAGACAGAGTGGGGAACAGAACAGGCCAACTGAGGAAGTACACTGCTGAGGGGAGCAGCGGGCAGGTCAGGAGAAGTCTGCTGAACCATTTGGGTCACCTCCGGGGTGGGGATCAAACTCATGCTGAAGTGGCTTTAGCTTCTCAGTGCTGTGCTTTAACTTGCTGCACCACCAGGAAGGGCCCAGGGCTGATTATTTTTAAGAAATAGAATAATCCAGATTTTCTTTATCTCTCCCCTTTAAATGCCTAAAATAATTTAGATTCTTTAGATCCTTGTAGCAGGAAAACAGCTAGGACCAGAGATAACTCCAAAGACAATGAAGTAGGCTCATTAGACTAGTTGACTTAGTAGACTTGGGGGGAAGTTCTCTCAAGTCCCAAATTCCTCTCTGTGTCCCTTTGTCTCCAAAAGGCAATACAGACATTTGTTTAGCAAGTATTTGCTCTTCTCACTTTCTTGTAAATGTCTTCCTCTCCTGTGAAACCCTAGACTGCTATCCTTTTTTCCCTAGTTCAGGATGGCATAGAAACCCCAACTACCCATCAGGGAGCCTCATAGATTTGTAGGGTTCATATTTGGATGTCATTAAATCTGATTTTCTCCTATTAATCTGTCTTATGGCAACTTCATCCTTAGACCAGTCAAAAGAATCTAGAAGGTCAAAGAGACTTCTTCCTCCCTGACTCAAGCATTTAATAAATTGTAAATATAATTTTTACTTAAAAATATTACAACCAGATATTTGTAAAACAGAGAAAAATTTCCCACCATACTTCAAAAAATAAAACCAGTTAATTTTGCTCTCTCGCCTTCCAATCTTTCCTATCATGCACTATTTTACTTCATTACATTATTTAAATTATAGTCCGTCTACTATTAGGATGCCATGAATCAAAATATGTAAACAGAATTCCTAAATAAGGGAGCTGCAAATTGAGAACTTATGTTAGTATTTTTCCTTCAGTGCATACATGCTACTATTATGATAAAGGATATTTTATGTTTTTTAGTCTTGATGATTATCACTAGACACTGTGGCTTGGGAGGCCCTTTCTGTGAAAATGACTTTTGAATTAAGATTTGGGGAATGAGAGCTGGGAGATATGTAGGACATGAGTACCATAGGTAGAGGGAAACAAAACTCCAAAGGCCTTCAGTTAGATTGCTGTACCTGGCATCTTAACAGAATTAGAAAGAAGCCACTGTGGTGGAAAGGACCAGAAGAAGAGTAGGGAATGACATCAGAAAGATAAAGATCATGGTGGACTTTTCATTCATGAGATGGACCCTCGCTTTTACTCTGAGTCACATAACAAGCCACTGGAGTACCATGAACAGAGGTGATTCATAATCATATATGATGTTTATCATAAAAGTAAAGTAAAAGTTCATGGTGAACCACAGAAGTATTTCTAATAAAGTCAGAATAAAGTCAAGGATGTTTACTCTCTTTCTTACCATTGAGCATTGTTTTGAAGATAATGAATCATGCAATAGGAAACATACAAACAAAGAAAGAATATACAAATGAGAAAGGAAGTAACAAAATTATAGTTATTTGCAGGTAATATGTGTGCCTGTTTAAAAAAAATTCCAATGGCCTCTAATAAAAAACTAAATGAAATAGAAATGGAGTTCAGGTTCCCAGATATATCATTGTATTTATCAACTCTCACATGTTAATAAGACACAATGAAGGTTTATATGAAAGAAGTATAATTTAGATTGCTAAAACACAGTAACAGGTATGCTTTTCAAAACTTTCATCAAAATGTACTAAACAACCTGAAACTATAATGGAGAAAAAGATTCCAATCACAATAAACCTGGAAATACAAAATTTCCAGGAAAGAAAATGAATAAGAAATATAAGGTTTTATATTTAATATAAGATTTTATAAGATCAAATCTATATCAAATAATGTTTTTAAACATCTAAATAAAATGGAAACTATGCAATGTTCCTAGATGAAAAAAATTGTATACACTAAAGATGTCAATTCTCACTAGAGTAACTTGTAATTCAAATCCAATGTCCATAGAAGTTTAAAAAAAAAAACTGACAAACTGATTCTAAAATATGTTTGGATGAATAAATGTGAGAGTGGCCTCCCTGGTGGCTCAAGGGTTAAAGCACAGCACCATGAAGCTGTCTGCAGCCACTGCAGCTCAGGTTAGATTCCTGGCCAGGGAGGTGACCCAGATGGCACAGCAGACCTCTCCTGTCTCATCTGCTGCTCCCTCAGCAGTGTGTTTCAGTAGATCTGCCTGTTCTGCTCCCCACTCTGTCTCTGATGAATCCTCTCACCCCCACCCCAATTCTATGCAAAAGTAATATATATATATATATATATATATATATATGTGTGTGTGTGTGTGTGTGTGTGTGTGTATACATATGTATTATGTATATATGAAAAATCATTAATGCATAGAGACATGCCTGTAGTGATATAACTCAAATTTTTAGTAATAATAACAGCAAACACTTGCATTATAGTTACTATGTGGCAGGCACTGCTCTGAATCATTATGCAATAAGGCAGTCACAGAAGACAAATGCAGCTTGATAAGGCTTATTTGAGGGATCTGCAGTAAGTGAAGTCATAGAAGTATAGGTCAAATACTAGTTACCAGGGACCAGAAGGAGTTGGGAATGGGGTTATTCAACCAATTGGGTATAAAGTTTGCTATAGGTGTTAAGGTAAATAAATTCTAGAAATCTTCTGTATAACATTGTGCCTATAGATAACAATATGCCATTGTGCACTTTAAAATATGAGAAAAAATAAAGTAAAATCTGCTGTGAGACCTACGTGCTCATCAACAGATAAATGGATAAAGATGTGGTACATGGATTCAATGGAATATTGCTCAGCTATTAAAAAAAAATAAGATGAAATCTTGCCATTTGCAAAAACATGGATGGACCTAAAGGGAATTATGCTTAGTGAAAATAAGTCAGACGCAGAAAGGTAAGCACCACATGATATCACTCATGTGTTATAAGGATAAAACAAACAAATGCAAACTAAGAAAAAATATAAAGAAAATTTTAGATCAAATTAGCGATTATTAGAAGGGGAGGAGAAATGATTAAACCAGATAAAAGGTCTCAACTGCATGGTAAAGGATAGAATTGGACATTTAGTAGTGAAGTTAATGTAGTACATACAATGTTGACTTTGAATGATGCACACCTGAAATTTACATAATGCTATAATGTTACATTACTTCAATCAAAAGTTTAAAAATGCTATAAGGATAAATCTGTTAATTGTTTTTAATCACAATAAAAAAGTAGAAACACACATACCGTTTGACCCAGCAATCCCACTTCTAGGGATCCACAATATCTTGCATATATATCCCAATATGTGCAAAGGTATATATATAGGTTATTCATCATAGCATAGTTTGTAATGCAAAATACTGAAATAATGCAAATATCCCCTATATGAAACTGGTTAAGAAAGCGATCATTCATTCATATAATGAATTACAATGCAACAATAAATGCAGACATTTATGTACAGACATTATGTAGGGTGTCCTCTAAAACAGTGAGGTGCCGCCATTTGTATTTAAAAAAAGGAAACAAAATTTTACATATATTCCTATTTGCTTGTATCTACACAGAACATCTCTGGGAAGAAAACTAAGAAACTAGCGGCACTCACTGTCATCAGGGAGGGGAACTATTGATAAATTGCTAGTTTGCATAGTTGATATGTGCTTTTTATACCCTTTCATCTATATGATGCTATTGCCTGTTCAAAACAGTTATTAGATTAAAATTTGGAGGAAAAAAAAGAAAGAAAACCAACAACACGTGAAGAATAGCTCACCTTTGGGCTCGGTAGATGTATTTTGAATTTCCGGTGAGCCGGTACAGAAGTAAGAAGACGTAGGCACTGCCAGCCACCCCGTGGCAAATTCCTGGCCCCTTCTTCAGCAGGCCCTTCTGCCATGTGAGTTCTCCACACCGGATACAGGTATCCAGGTATTGTGGTTTCTTGGAAACCAGATAAGCTTTGGCAAACAGATAGGCTATCCCTGTGAAAACACCAAAGGCATTAGAGGTGACTCTCAGGAAGAAATGCAGAGCTTGTCAAACTTTGTACCACAGATTTGTACCACAATTTGTACTAGTAAAATATCCATTCTAATTTGGGACATCAAAGTGGGGCCTGAGGTACTGCATTTCTTTTTCTTTTCTTTTTGGTATTTTTATTTTAAAAATTTAATGTACTGTTTTTTTCTTATATCGTTGTTAATTTTTTGACAATTTATGATTTTCTCCCTCAGGTGAGGTCACCATAGCTCTCTCACCACCAAAGCACCCACTATATTCCCTTGTGCTCTTTCCCCCACCCTCCCCCACTCCCCATTTTTACACCTACCTCCATAAGCCCCCTTCCCTCTTATCTGTGGTCAGCTTTTAAGCTTTCATTTATATATGGAATATAGAAAACCCAAACAAAGTGTCAGGTACTGCATTTCTAACAAGAAAGAACACTTACAGGGAGCACATTTTGAGTAGCAAGGCCACGGAAACTTTTACAAGGGACTTTTGTTATTCCTGTGAGATTTTGGGGAAGTTGCTTGAGCTGTATTGTGGCCATTTCATTTATATGTGGAATACAGAAAAAACAAAGTGTCAGGTACTGCATTTCTAACAAGAGCCCTTCCAGGGAGCATGTTCTGAGTAGCAAGGCCATGGAAACTTTTACAAGGGAGTTTTGTTATTCCTGTGAGATTTTGGGGAAGTTGCTTGAGCTATATTGTGGCTATGGTCCCTGGAGATAGAACAAGTATACAGATCTATAAAATCCACAATGTACAACTGGGTTAATGTTTAATGAGGCCTCCTTCAGCATGCATTATGAATAGTTGCCCATTCGAAGTGGACAAATGTTAACACAATTTGCTCATTCTCCCACAGATTGGTAATGTTTATGTACTTATAATTTTTTTTAAGTGAAACTGGTGTCCATCCAAAAACAGCAAAGATTCCAAATGACCTGGCCAAGACTTTTCCAGCTGTGAAATGAGTCTTTTCCTACTTGGTAATTCCAAGGAAAGACATACATTTTCCTTCAAAACTAAACAATCACAAAGGCAGGCATGGAAAACCAGAAGCAAGAGTGAATGATTTCCCCAAGTTCCAGGTGCTCACATTCTAGAAGGAGATTACACAAGATCTCTCTCTCCCTGCACATTCTACCATTCTCCCATAGAAAAAGCTGGGGAGACTGCGACTTAGCAGTCTTATACATCAGGGTTATCTCTGCCTTTCCGTGTTTGTGATGGTGGTAGTTTTCAACTGTGTAGAGGTAGAAATTACCTGTGGACAACTGATAGTAATGCAAATAATTCCTCTTCCTGGAAACTCACAATCTGACTGTTAGAGGTGCCATGGTCTTCCCATGGCTTCTGCCAGAAGTCAGTTTTGCATGTATTAAGCAAATTCACATCAGTGCTTTTAATGGCTTTAAATATGCCTACTCTTTCTTTGGCTTTTCCTTTGAACCAGTGGTAACACCTTTCAGTTTCCCTCATTAATTAATGAGGTAAGTGAAGCATTGGCATGTTTATTTTATATTTGTATGAGTCATGATTTTATCCTTGTTTAAAATCTGCCCTTTAGCACTCCCTATGTTTAACGCCTCAACAGCACTCTCAGCCAGGCTTCCCACTCATCTACTGACAAGGATCGCCTGTGGCATGGTTCTTCAACAACTCCCACAAGCCAAAGGATGATTTGAAAAAAGAATGGAACTTACTTAATTATGCATTAGTTCATTCATTCATTCACTGTGTTCATTTGAAAACACTCACTGATTATCTACAGTACGGATAGCCTGAGGCAGTGCAGCTTTCCTGGGCATTTGACCTTCAGAAGAATCCCTTGTCTGGTTTAATGCTCTATTGTTACCATCTTGAAATTCTTATTTTTTAAAAAAGAGATCTATATTTTCATTTTGTACTGGGCTGTCCAAATTATGTAGCAAGTTGTGGCCCTGGGCATTTGAAATAAATGCCAAACGCAACTCACAACTGGAGCCTCAGGAAAGCATGTGTAGAAAGGGAGAGAAAAATATGCACATATTGTAACAGGGTGGTCCCTAGGAAAAAGGGAAGTTCCAGGTTCCCTGCTCCACCCAGAAGGAGGGTGGAGCTGAGCAGAGAAAAGGGAGAGAAGAGAAGGAAAGGAAGCTGGATGGAGAAGGAGGAGACCTAAGGAAGCCACGTGGAGCAGCAAGCATGTGATGAAGAAACCGTGCTTGTTTCCTGACCCTGGACTGGCTAAGGCAGATGTGGGTGAGATACCTGTAGGGAGGTGACTATGGCAGTGTTTATATTGATTTTGACGTTGCTCTTTTCCTCCCAGACTTGTCTGGCCATGTCTGACCCTTTTCCATGGGTCCCGGCCAGAAGGTGCTTTAGTCTAGTGGCAGCTTTCAGGCCTTGCTTTGGGCCAATCCCTTTTGGGTTGACTTTTGCCCACGAGGGAATGGGTCACTTCAGGTGTTTGCTTTAGAAGTTATCTTCTTTGTGTTCCGTATTGTATATTTACTGTATTAAAGCCCCTTTTCATTAAAGTTTTATATGTTTTGTCTTGTTGCGTCGGATGGCAGAACCCACTTAGAGCAGGCAGGTTTTGGGGGCTTTATGGGTGCCCTTCTCCCCACTGTCCTCTAACAGATTTGCAGTCCTATAACAATATGACTGATACATGGTTGGACATGAAGTTCAAGACACTGTTGAGTCATAAAGTGAGGAAGACTGTAGGTGGGGCCTTGGAGGCAAGTAAGGGCTTCTTTAGTACTGTCTAGGAGCTAGGCTCAGGGTGAGGTAGAGAGAGCACTGAGGCGCCACCGTTCAAGCCAGGACAAACAAGTGGCTGAAGACCAGTGGGCAGTATTCTGGCAACAGGATGTAAGGGTCAGGCACCAGCCAAACACAGGCACACGGAAGGAGCAGTTGCTTCAAGCAGAAGCAGATATTTGGGAGTGATAGTCAATCTCATGACTTGTCACCACTGATTAACACAAGCCTGGGCAGAAAAATAAGTTCCAGTTCCTTGTTGAAATTTGCCACCTGGCTATTTCTGCCCCCTACCTAGACCTATAAAAACCCCACTTAGCCTTCCCTCAGTGCGACTTCTTTGACCTCAACTCTCTCTGGGATCAGTGAACCTCACCCAGGAGTGTAGACATAAACCTACTTTTGGTTTTACTGGCCCTGCTTTCTTTTCGTGTCATCCCTGCTGCTCCAAACCTTTCACAGGACAGTGGAGTGGAAGGTGGATTGGCTCACATTATGGATGGTCTAAGAAGACAGAATAGACAGTATTCTGTGGGCAATAAGGATCTGGTCGGACTGACTCTGTGATGAATTGGTTAGTTTTATTTTTATTTATCTATTTATTTTTAAATTTTCAAATGTATATTTTATTTTCCTACATCATTATTCTGGTTTGTTTTATTTTTAACAATTTAATTGGTATTATAGACAACATGTCCCAGAGTGATGTCAGGAGAGACTAAAGATGGGTAGAAAGATGGCAAAGAGGCTAACAAACGAGACAGCTCACAGGACCTGGTGACTATTTAGATATTGAGTGCCTCTTATATACCAGGTGCAGTTGTAAGTGGGGAACTTTAAAAATCACCACCTTCCTGGTGTTCTCAGTCTACCTGGAGCCATGACTAGCTACGTGTCAGGAATCAGGAAGCACACAAGAAGGCCACAACCCACAGTGGGAGGTAGGTAGGGCCACCAGTGGGAGGTAACCTGAGTCCGGAACTGTGAGGAGGAACTTGGCAGGTGGAACTTGTGGGGGGAAACCTCTGGTGGCCTGTGGATCCCTTTTAGCTTTCCAGCAGGTGACTCAACACCCAGTTGCAGAGTTGACTGCTAACAAAGTTCACATTGATACCTTCACAGGAGATTTGGCCTCAGACAACTGGAAGGCTATGTTCCATGCCCACCGGCTACCCCTCAGCAGATTTCTGCCAGCCACTCACTGATGGGCATGCCGAGTACAAAATGTCATTTCCCCAGCACACAGCAGTCTGTGCCTCTTTAGTCTCCTCTGGCAATCCTGGGGAAGCTATTGTAGTCTCCAGGTGAGGCATGCCCCTTGGGGTTTCTCCTCTGCCACAGCCTGCCTTTCCTCACCCTCAAGGGCTCCGCCTGAGAGCCAGCTCCTCTAGACACCTGACAGAAAGTGGGTGGAAGAGGGAGGGGCTCAAGCCGGAAGGACAGGCTTGAGGAAAGGCCCCTGGGCACAGCACTGCTCCAGATGTTGCTCAGCTCTGCCACACCTTGAATCTATTCTATAGCAGAGGCCGAGTGAGGGGCCTTTTGAAAACAGTAATCTGACCAGGCACTCTTGTGCTTAAACCTGAGAATTGGTCCTGATACCCAGATGCCTTAGCAAGACAGAAAGCCCTTTGTGACCCAGCTTCTGCTTTGTTTTCCTGTCTTTCCTCCTCCCATCTTGAAGCTTCTTATTTCCATAAAACAATTGTGTGGTTCCATGCCTCTGACTGCCTAAGTTGTTCACTTCTCTTGGAACAAACTTTCTACCCTTCTTGGCCTGACCTGTTTAAATCAGGCATTACCTCTCCAGAAAGCCTTCCCTGAGCTTCCACAGCTTCCTAGCCAAGCCTTAGTTAGCACAGTATGATATTCAAATGATCTGTATGATGGAGGAAGTATTAAAAATGAGGCATCACAAGATTGACTCATACAGGGAATTGGGGCAGAAGGGATTAACACAGCTATTGACCCAGCTATAGAAACCAAGATCCTTAGGCTGCAAGGCCTGGATTACAAGGCAAAAGATCCAAGCAGGTAGCAGATGCTGTAGGCAGTGTCTATGGGAGACCCAAAAGGTGAAAGATAAAGATGGAGATTGAACCCACCGTGAGACCTCCCATCCCTTTCAGATTCTATTCAAAATCAACAAACTGAGGCTCACAAGGAGTGGCTCCCAAAGAGAAGATGTCTATACCAGGGCAGTTTCTGCCCTGTTGGGGGGGGGGCAGCAGTCCTCTGCCCACCTGTGACTATGTAGGTGATGTAGGTGCTCCTTTCCACCAGCTCCCCTCCACCCGCTGCGGGGCAGCAGCCTTCTGCCTGCCCAAGACCTGCACCCTGCCTGGACTTCTTACTGAGAAGTGGAGGCTGCTCTCCTCAAGGCCACCCATCTGCAACCATGCAGGACTCTCGCAGCACACCTGCCTGCTTGTGTCTATGCAAGTGTTTTTTACTCCTCTGTTATTTTCCCTAATAAGCCTGCTCTCTAAATATAACTATTGTCTCTGCCTCGAGGAGAAACTAGCCTGGGGAACTCGCCATGTGCTGCTGAAAGGGGAGCTCTGGGAAACCTTTCCCCGTGGACCCAAGGACCCCGCACTCGAAACCCACTAACTCCAAAAATGACATCATGTGCACATTTGCTTTCCCTACTGCCTTACAATTGACCCAAGAGTGAGAAGTCTATCTTACTCATTTTCTTCAACTTTTCAGCACAGCGTTTGACTTGAGGCAAAGGCCCCACACAGGCTGTCACTGAAGGGGAGATGAGAGAGTTGGAGGAAGAAGAACTCAAATGGTCTAATTCCTATAGTGGTCCCTGAGCCTGGGGCAGTTTAAGAGGTACTGGTAACTGTGGTTCTGGTCGGAGAAAAAGGGTCTCTTCCCATGGCCTGGAGCATGAGGGACCTTGACTCTTTTTTTTTTTTTTTTTTTTTTTTTGATGTCTAACCTGACCTACTGAGATCCACAAGACTGCACAACCTATTTATTTTATTTATCGATATATACAAAAACTAGGGTGTAGGCCAGAGGTGCAGGGTGTAGGGGTGAGAGGTGTGCCATGTGGGTCAGCTCCCTTGGCTGGGATCGAACTCGTGCTGCAGTGGCTATGGACAGCTTCATAATGCTGAGACATAACCTACTGTGCCATCAGGGAGACTCCAAGACTGCCCAATTTAAAAGGAAGGAATGTGAGGTATCTTGCTTTTCATGGGCGCTATTTTATTTCAATGTGGAAACATGGATTATTGGCACCCAAGTGAGCAATTGTCTTTGCCAAATACAGCTAGAGGAAGGACTAAGCATTACTTAAGAAATATGGTTGGAGGCCCTCCCTGGTGGCGCAGCGGGTTAAAGCACAGCACTGAGAAGCTAAAGCCACTTCTGCATGAGTTCGATTCCTGCCTGCCCCGGAGGAGACCACATGGCGAGGCAGACCTCTCCTGGCCTGCCCACTGCTCCTTTCAGCAGTGTACTTCATAGATCTGCCTGTTCTGCTCCCCACTCTGTCTCTGGTGAAGCCTCTTGCCACCCCTGCACCTCTGGCCTGTACCCCTCAGTTCTGTATGCATAAATAAATCTTAAAAAAAAAATGAAATATGGTTGGAGAGGCTAAATCCTTGAAAATGGGTGATCTAACAGAGCTTTATGGTAGCCAGGCGCGCCACGGACATTTTTAATACACAGACTGCATCCTGGGATCTGCCGTTTCACTGAAACATACCTTGTTCTGTGTATACAAAAAGCTTAGCAAGTGCCTCCCAACTGGCCTAAAGGTTAAGTCTCAGCATTATCATCATTAAAGCGTAAGTTCCTCCCCCAACCTGGGAGCTAAGCCACATAAGGTACAGCAGACCTCTCCTGTCTCCCTGCTGCTCCCCTCAGCGGTGTACTTTAGTAGACCCACCTGTTCTGCTCCCCATTCTGTCTCTGGTGAGTCCTCTCACCCCTTGCATCACTGACATATACCACAGTTCTTCTATGTAAAAATTAAAATATATATAGATGTGTGTGTGTGTGTGTATATATATATGTATATGTGTGTGTGTATAAAGCTTAGTGACCTGTGACACTTGAAATGACCAAGTCCTTGCTGTGAGTTCAAAGTTGCCTAGCCAGGAGCACTTGTGAAATTTTTTAAGTAAAAAAAAAAAAAAAAGCCACAGTTGTGTTTCACAGAGTAAAGCAAATGCACTGTAAGTGTTACCACTGTAATGATATACATAACACAACCTAGAGTTTTGATTTTAGCATTTGTTATAATAACTTTGTAAATGACTTTCGTTCTGTATTTCAGAATCATTAAGAATATGAAGGGGTCATATAAATCTGTCTGCTATACTTCATTTTTTTTTCTTTACTATTTAAAAAAAGATTTTATTTATTTACACATACAAGAACTGGGACACAGACCAGAGGTGTGGGGTGGGGGTGAGAGGATCCACCAGAGACAGAGTGGGGAGCAGAACAGGCAGATCTACTGAAAAACTTTGCTGAGGGAAGCAGCGGGTGAGGCAGGAGAGGTCTGCTGTGCCATGTGGGTCAGCTCCCTGGCCAGGTATCAAACTCACGCAGGAGTGGCTGCAGACAGCTTCACAGTGCTGTGCTTTAACATGTTGCACCACCAGGGTGGGCCCTTCATTCATTTAATGAGAAAAACTATATGCCACACTGTGTAGCTATAAATTTGGATGTTGTAAATAGCCTTCAGGAATGGCAAGTGTCCACAGAACAAATGGGGCCTGTAATGATGAAAAGATGGGTCTCCAGTACTCCATCTCAACGTGCTCATTTCACAGGTGAAGAAACAGGCACAAAAGGACCAAAGTGTTTTCTCGAGGTCACTTGTCTGGCTAGTGTTGGCGTTACCATTAGAACCCTGAGTCAATTTAGAGTCAAGAACTGTGTCTCTACTGCATACATGATAACCTAAGGTAGTTGCCTGTCTAGGTGGTTGGAAGAAAGTCAGTAGGAATCAACCAGAGTGGGAGGTAAGGTAGCACTGATGAAAATTTCATATTGTGGATTGTGTCTGGCAGCTTTTTAATCACAGAACCATTCTGCTGCCCCAACCATCTGTGCTGTTCATAAATCCACTCTCCAAAAATATTTTTTCTCAAACCAGAGAAAATCACTTTTTTAGGTCATCTTCTGTTTTAGAATATTCAGAATTTACTCCTGCCACTTCAAAGATATGTGGATGGTATTTGACCATCACTTAATCAGATTTTAATCATTCTTGATAATGTTTTTAGAAGATATCTTAAAAGGAAGACCAGCAGTCTTGAGATGGGAGCAAGGGTTGGCAGCAATAATGGGCTCTCTTGGGTTATTTATTCATCTGTGGATTGCTTTATTTTTGGCATTTCAGTGAATATAGGGTTGAATGATTTTGCTTTGGAACTACTGTTTAATTTTACTAAGATACTGAATGCCAATGATATAATAAGCAAAAAAAAAAAAAAACAACAAACCAACCTCTGCAATGTGCCCTATGCTGTGCTGTTATGGTATGTGATTTACAAAGACAGATGGCATTCAATGTATAAAAATTGGATAAAATAATTTTTCTTTTATGAGACCCACATACATCAATTATCTGACACAGGCACTCATCTTAGTAGATTCTTTTCCCACTCAGTTTAGGGCTTTACTAGCACACCGAATCCTTTTTAAAAGATTCTGTATTTAACTGGGGACATCTCCAAAATTCAAGGACCCTGGGGTGCTGGGAGGTAATCCAGAGATCACCATCAAACATGATTAAAGGAAGTTGGGAAATGAGAATGTTGAACATAACATGAAAAGATTTCATTTCCAGGATGGTAAATAACTGTTGTTTTTCTCTAAAAAGTTCAAAGCAGAAAGAAATAGGTTCTGTAACTGGCAGGAGCTGGCCTGAATCTAATGCATAATACTCTGGGCATTGGTACAAATACACACAAGGGCCTTTGAAGTCCTTTTCTTAGGTAAAAGTGGCAGGTAGAGAAAATATGGTGGATGGTCTAAGAGTTTTATTATTCATCAACTCAAATTGTACCAAGAAAACAAATGAAATTGCAGTTGGATTAAAGAACACTGATTAGGTAAGGAGGGGGAAGGAAATAATAAAACTCAGATAACAGACTAAAGAGAAATAAAATCTTTTTTTAAAATTGTGTGCATGGCATTGAAGAACAGCCTTGAAGACTAAATCCACTAGTAATCCAAAAATGTTGGATTTTAACTCTCACCCCTGACCAATCAACCAAAATTTGTTGATTTACTTGCATTTAACTTATTTCAAAGTGTTCTTTCTTTGAAGGCCTAATGAGCTGTGCAGTGGGATTTTTAAAAGGAGGAAAATGGAATCTGGTTAGTTTGCAGACTCAGTTACAAGGGTTCACAGCAGTGACTTCCCATTTCACCTAGACTTTTTACTAGGTGGTGATGGAAAACCTCCTATGAGGAACTCTAGAGCAGTGCATTTCAAACTTTACTGTGCACACAGTTCACCTAAGAATGCCTGTTAAAATGCAGATTTTGTTGCAGTGGGTTTGGGGTAGGGCCTGAGAGTCTCAATTTCTAACAAGCGCCCAGGGACCACGTCTGGGGGCCAGGTTCCGGAGTTGCACAGTGCAATGTAGCTATTGAACACTTGCAATGTGGCCATTGAGATGGGATGTAAATATGAAATATAGACTGGATTTCAAAGACTATATAAAAAGTAAGATAGCTCAATTTTTAAATGGGTTCCTTCTTGAAATAGTATTTTGCATATATTTGGTTATTGGATAGATATTATTAAACTTAATTCCACTTGTTTCTTTTTACATTTTAACGTGGCTACTAAAAACTTAATTTTATACGTGCCTCACATTTCTATCGGCCAGTGCCAGTTGACGTTATATGCAATTAGAAATAGATCATATAATTTAAAAAGCAGAGGGCCATTTCTGGAGGTCCTTTAGAGATCAAGACATTTTTGGCTTTGAAAAATTTCATCTTGACCCTTTTATCATCTCAACTAGTAGTGACATAAGATAAGAAATTCCCTCCATTATTGGAAAGGCACCTCCCCCCTTTGACTAAGCCTGGAGAAAGGCAATACTGTCAATGACAGTGTTTTCGAGACCTGGGGCACCATGGCACCAGTGTACCAGCTCATTCTCCCTCTCGATGGCCTCGCCCAGCTCAGGTGGCCAGTTGGAGTTCTGTTCCTGCTCCATGAGGAAGTCCACACTCTGCCATACCAGCTCTTGATCTGAGGGCTTGAGGTGCTCATGGTAAGAAAGAAGCATTTGGAGAATGGATGACAGGCCATGAGCAGCTCCTACATTGACAAAAAAGCATAATCAATTCACGCAGTTGAAAGCCAGTTGGATTTAATAAAAAGACAAGCACAGGACAAAACACAACAGCACTATTACTTGAAAACACACATAGTCATGGAATAATTGAGTTGCCAAAGAACTAAACTTCTGGGGCATATATACTCCTGTGGCTCATTATCTGTTTATGTAAAGAAAATTTTATTGAAACACAGTTATTATCATTCATTTGCATAGTACCTATGACTGCTTTTGTGCTACTGTGGCAGAGATATATTTAAGACCCTATGGCCTACAGAGCCTGAAATATCTACTATATGTCCCTTTACAGAAAAATGTTTAGTGACCAACGCATCTTAGAGTTTTTTAAAATGTAATTAATATAGCAACAGCTTTTATGAAAACGCTCCTAAACTGCTAGCTAATAACTTGTTCTAGGTATCCCAAGCATATATTCATTCATTCAACACATAAAAATTAAGCACCGACTATGTGCCAGATACTATCCTAGTACTATCAGAGGGTAGATCAGTGAACAAAGAGCCTAAGGGCCTTCTTGTGTAAAGTTAAATACTAGTATTTGGTGGTAATTTACTTAGTCTTTCATCTTTAGTATTATATATTGGGCGTTGTCTAAGCTTTCGGGATACACAGATTAATCTAAGTTGGTTTGTAGCCTTAAAGACCTTCCCATCCATTCTGATGAGAAAGTCAGGATTGTATAGAAATCATTACAACATGAGGTGATAGATGTTCTGTGAGAGATATGTACCAGGGGCTAAAATGAGAAACAAGCAGGAGAGCTGAACTCAGCCTCAGAATGAAAGTGGTGCTGAAAGTTCCACACAGGTAGTGTCATCTGAGCAAAGTTTTGAAGAACGGCTGGCATTGAGTGTTGAACAAGCAAGGCCCGAACCTGCTGGAGGAGCAGACCATGAGGAAGGTGAGAGCCAACCCAGTCCCCATGGGAGTTTTCACTCATTTCTAGTTAGAAGGATCCTGATTGGCAAGTGGGCTTTGGTCAGTATATTCTGGGGGCTTGTTCTTTCTACTCCACTCCATAATGTTAAAGGTTTTTCTTTACTCTCTGGTACCCGATCTTTGGACTCCCTCAAAACAGCCTTACTATTGTATCCAGTCAAAAACTTTATCCTTGAAGTTTGGTCATGAAACTTGAAGGCACCTTTCTTGCACTGAATTTTAAATTGTAAGAGAAAAGCTTGCTTTGCAGGAGAACATGCATGCTTGAGTTAGAAATCTGGTTTGTGCTATCTATGTAAATGGTTAAAACCTGAAAGGTATGAATGTTTCTCCAGAGAGGGTTTAATAGACGCTTTTTCCAAAAGCATAGAAAGTTTTTCAATAGATATGATGCTGTTGGAGTCATCTGGAAGGCTGGGTATAAGTATTACAGATAAATAACCCAGGCCTTCTAGGCAAAAGCAACAGGCACAAGAGTTACAAAGATATGAGAACACTTTGCTTGTAGGAGATTATGCTGGAAAGAACCAGGGAATGGGGAGAGAAATTGGAGATCAGTTTGGAGAAGGAAGCAGATGATCTATTAAGAGGCCTTGCCAGTCATATTCATGAGTGATGGCAGCCAGTGGAGGATTCCAGTGGGAGTAATTAATTTTCACTTTACATGCTTCATCTCTCAAAAAAAGCCATTGTGATTCAGTAGTCTGTTATTTATTCACTATCATTAATCTTAAGCTGTTAGTGGCTGAATCTGGTTGCCTTATGCAGAAACACTTACAATGAGTGTGAAAGCTGTTCACAAACTTTCAGCAAAGTTAGGCCAATGAATTCACAATTGAGAATAAGAAGTTTAGTGTTTAGTGAAAGTAACTGCTAGCAAACAGTACCTGAGAACACATTTATTGCTTTGGTTTTCAGTAACTTTTTAAATTGTAGAGCACAAATCTTTCTTCTTGTCAACCTGATTCTGTCCTGAAAGTTACTGAAAAGACATCTATCTGTTTCATGCAGAATTTCTAGCTGGCTCTAGGAGAAGGAATTCAGGTGTTGTTAGTCTACCATGTTGTTGTAGTCATAAATTTAAAAATAATATAATAGTTTATTTTTACATGATTTTGTGCCTTTTTCCACCTTGGTTGTAATCTCTGTGGGCTTCCCATCACCAAATACACTCATGTGCCATTACATAGTCCATTGCACTTCCCTCCCCCCACCGTTTTTGATACCATTCCCTACTCCACCCCCCTAAAAAGTCTTTGGTATATAGTTGTTCATTATTATTATTTTCCCCCCTGGTCCTTTATAGTCCTGCTATGAGTGAAACTATCTGGTATTTTTTATTTCACTAAGCATGATCCATTCTAGCTCTATCCATGTTGCTGCAAAAGGCATGTGTTTAGCCTTTTTGATTGTCAAGTAATATTCCATTGTGTATATGTACCACATCTTTTTGATCTAGTCACCCACTTTTGGGCATTTGGGTTGATTCCATGTCTTTCCAATTGTAAATAAAGCAGATCTGCTACATCATTTTACAGGCCATTGTCAGCATTTTCACTCACCCAAATACTCGGTTCCATAGTAAGAATACATCAGGGGGAATGGTTTCCTCTTTTTTGTTGCATACTGCTTTCCAGAATCCAGAATTGCCTGGCAAATTGACTTGATCTGTGCCGGGGTCAGCACCTGAGGAGAGAAATCAAGAAGCAGAAGTTCAAATCTGGATTTATTTTTAACCCCAGACACTGGATTTTCTGGCTTAAACAGTCCATCAGCCTAGACATAGAATCTTTTCCTATATGGAAATTGGCCAACCATAACATATATTTTCTTTTACTAGCGATTCTTGTGAAGTTTAACTAACCTCTTCAGAGTGCTTCAGGTGCTGTTTTGAAGAGCAAAACACACCTTTACTGCTATAGGTTTTTATAAAACTCAAAGACCATTTCATAGTTATTTATATCATCAATCCTTGTCAGGAGAACAAAATGTTGCTCAGAAAAAAAAAACAAAAAACAAAGACTGGTCCTAACCAATCGTGCTTATTAGCAAAGTGTTACTCTTGGTGCAGCTTATCCAGGCCCAGACAATGCATCTTTCATCTGTATCATTTAGACTGTGCTTATAACACTGCAGTTATACTACGAGCTGCTACAAGACTCACTGTAACCCTTTGCATTCTGTGCAGGAAGCCTAAGTCCAATAAAATAGTGAGGCCAAAATCACTTTTTAATAGCAAAATGACTGAATAATCACTGATATGCAATGACTAGCAATCTTTCATATTTTATCTTTCTCTCCACCGTCAGTTTTAGGACCATGGAGATTCAAATGTTCTCACGCCTACAAAGCATCACGGAGTTTATTAAGATCCTGCTCAGGTCTGTGGTGTTTTTGTGCCTCTCACCCTTCCTTTGGCTAGATTAGATGTTCCCTCTGGCACAATCCCCATATCACTGTGATTCTCTCTGCTGTGGTGTGCATGTCTCTCTCTCATTATAGATGATCATTTGATGAAAAACACTGGAATCTCATCATTCTGGCATCAGTGGCTCCTAACACAGAACCCGAGGGGGCCTTTGGTCATTAAAGAGTGAGTAAATAGTTCCAAGTTTGTGTGCAAAGCAGAGCCGTCCATTGCCTGTCCCCTTCTTCCTTTCTTCCCTTCCACACTTACTCCTTTATGTGCCAGGAAAAGTTGTTCTGGATGCTGGACATACGACAGTGAATAAAATAGATAAGCCCTTTACTCTCATGAAGGCAAACTTCCAGCAAGACAGACCTACACCTAAGGATGACCAAAACAAACAGTATCACCCAAGGTTTAGTCTTGGCCTGACTGAATTAATCAGAAATCAAGGAGAAGTCCACTGGACTTCAGCCTCTCTCTTGAAGACTCACACATCAAACTTCCCAACCTGGTAGTCAGCATTATAATCACTGATTCCCTTTGAAATAAAGTAGAACTGCTTTTTTTAATCATAATGTGATCCTCTAATTTCTCCAGCATCAGAAACGTAAAATAGAATCCAGGTTTGGGCCTCTTCAAAATTAACATTTACATTGGAAAAATAATTACATAAAGAGGAAGGTGTTTAATTCATGCTGCCCATTAACATTTACTGAGCTAGTATTCCAGCCAGGAGCTAAGATCGATATTGTGGGGGGTATTCTAGAAAGCCTGGGACACATTTTTTTCCATAGAGGGAACTTATTATCCAGTGCTGGAGATGAGACAAAGACAAAGGCCTACCGCAGAGCATTTCAAGTGAAACAAACAGCGATGCCGGGAGAATCAGGCAGTCAGTGAAACGTGGCCCTCCTCTTGGCTCGTTGCTCAGAAACAATTATACTGTGGCTTTTGTCTTAAATTCTACTTTTGAGTGACCTGTCTTTGTCTCCTGGGTTTATTCTTCCTTTCTGCCTACAATTTCCAAAGATGCCATTTGTCCAAGCATCCTCACTATCATTTCAAGGCTCGGCCTCAGACCTTTCCTTTGCTGAGTGAAAATGTTTCCTAAACGTCTTGCTAGTCTGCATCTGTTCAAATTGTTACCACATTTTTCACTGCTATCAGAAGCGTGGTGCTCTTTCTGCTTTATCAGTACCCTGTGATCTTACATGTAGTCTTAGTCTACCAGCTAATACCTTATGTTCTCAATCTCTCCCAACCCTTCATCCCAGAGCTCTCAGAGGTGTGCTAATAGCCTTACAGGGCGTGAACTTAACGGGATGCTAACCTGGTCCCAGTTCTTTTTTTTCTGAGAATCTATCTGGCACTTGGACTAAAGTTAGGTCCAGTCTGCTCGTCTTGGTATTGACTTCATATGAAAAGAGGCAGTTTTTGCGTTAGGAAACGGTCACTGAATTTGGGAGTGTGTTGGGGGTGGGGGGGTGTGCTCATTTGAATTACTAAAATTCTCCTTATTTGACTTCTGCTAATAACTGAAATCAGCTTAATCTTACCTTAGTGGAACATTTTTTCATGTGTTCTCTCCCTCACAACGCACACTTCCCTCTTCCATCTTTCTCTCTCTCTCTCTCTCTCACCCCCCACCCCCGTGTGTGTGTGTGTGTGTGTGTGTGTGTGTTTGCTTGTTTTTAACCTAGGGGAAAGAGTGAACTGAGGTTATATGTGGTGCCCTTCCTTCCTTTCCATCCCTAATCCACGGCTCAGAATAGAGAATGAATTTATACACGATTTCAGAACTTCCCGGTCATGCATCATGTCTGGTGGTGTCCTCTTATCTCCCAGAAACACTGTGAAAAACAAAGAGAAAGCAGCACTTGTTCAGCTGGATAAAGACCAGTTATGCACGCAGTTCTTTATCTCCTGGAACAGACAAGTCCTACCCTGGGGTTTATTGATCAGCAAATAAAAAATGAAAATAGTGCTCATTAAAAGGATGTGGAGGGGAACACTGAGGAAGTGTGTGTCTTTTTTGTTTTTTTTCTTTTTAACTCCCTTCAACAAACAGCACAGAAAGAAGAAAGGAGAAGAGACATGAGGGAGGGGCTCCTTCCTGCCTTTGTCTGCTCTCCCAGACTCTGAGCCAGCCCTCCATCCCACCCCCAGCTCCTAGCACAGGGTCTTGCGCATGAGCACACACACCACCGCCAAAGATGGCCTCCGTGCTTCTGTAACGCTCAGGGGCCTGATGATGAGGAAACAGCATTATTTCCAGTGGGGGAAAAACAGTGCTGGGGATGACCCAAAAGGGCTGCCTGCCTATTTTGACCTTACCAAACGCAAATTCCCTTTCCTGTATTTACAGCTCCGAAAGCTTTTGCATGTGTGCTAACTTGGATGGATTCTGTTCTTTAAATTTTCTTTCTTTCTCTCTCTCTTTTTTTTTTACATTAAATTAAGATACCTCAGAAGTACAAAGCAAGTCTGTGGTGGTTCAGTTTAAACTGTTTTCATATGTTTAAGGGTTCCCTTCATTGATCCTCAAACAGAAGTGTTTATTGTGAAATATTCCTAATTGGGTTCTAAGGTGGAGAGATGAGGGAGCAGTGAAGTCCATACTATGCTTCTTGTTCCTTCCTCTAGGTTGTATTGTGACTGAGCCACCTCTATGAGGGGTGATGATCTCTGATAGGGAAATGAATAAAATGGACCCAGACACAGAAAGCTTTACTCACCACAGACCTCTTTCTAGAGCAATGTATTGTCCCCAGCCCCTCTGAAGTGATATTCTTTACTAGCTAGTTATCAACCATTGCCAACACTATCAAGCAATAGTCCAGAATTCCCTGAGTATGTGACTGTCCATGTGCATGAAGGCATGAAGTTACTCCAGTATCACACCAAACACACATGTTAACTTAGTAAAAATATGACAATAATTGGTATGTTTTCCTGTAGCCAGTTATTTCACCCCAATCTTTTGTCCCACTGTTTTGGTGGTAGCATAGGCTTTTGCTCAGAAAGAGAATTAAGTCATTTTGATGTCCAGTGAAGATCCAAATGACTTCCGATGCTCATGCATGATTGCTCTGAGGAAAGACTTAAGAGTTGTGTGCGCCTGGTTATTTTTAGTACTTAAGATTGATATCATACACAATAAACTGGAAGGATATGTAGAGGTGGAATATGGAGCTAACTATTGTCCAACGTTGTGGAAGAGTTGATAAAGAATGGAACCAGGAAGCTGAGTCGTTAGATTTGAGTGTCTGCTGCTTCCCCTATATTCGTGTGTGCCAAGGCTTAGGAGAGACCCCCCAGGACCCCCTGGGCAGAATTAGTGGATCTCTAGGTATAATAATTAGGAGTGTGCCCCTCATCCCTGCTGCCTGGAATTTGGGGAGATGACTTTGTCTCCTGCTTTAAGGTCAGAGGCCAGTAAGAGAAACCACTGGTTGGTGTCTCCCATGGGAGAGATTATCCAGTTTCTTGTTAGCACCAGAGCAGAGTATGTCATTATACAAAGTGAGTTGATCTTTTAAAATTCCCAGTCCAAATAATTTTGAATTAAAATTGTGACTTTTAAGGGGCTTCCCTGGTGGTGCAGCGTTTAAAGACACAGAACATCAACAGCCAACCACTGCAGCTGAATTCAATCCCTGGCCAGGGAGGTAACCCACACGGCACAGCAGACCTCTGCTGTCTCCCTGTTGCTCCCTTCAGCAGTGTATTTCAGTAGATCCACTCTGTTCTGCTCCCTACGCTCTCTCTGGTGAATCCACTCACCCCCATAACTCTGGCCTGTACCCTAGTTCTGGTATACATAAATAAATCTATCTTTAAAAATCAATAAAAAGTTGATTTTTTTTTTAGAGACTGACTTTTTAGAAAGGAAATATACACAATTGGCTATATGTTTACTTTCAATGCCTTTGTGGGGTGGGTTGTAGTTTTGTGAGAACCCACTAGATTAGAGGGAGTGCCAGACCTTTCGGAAATCTCTGAGATGGGGGCAGAGTTTCTTCAGATGTTGAGAAGAGAAAATCCCAGGGAAGCTGATTTAAGGCAGAAGAAGCTCAAAGAGACATGTGAGGCCTAGCTATAGACACAGTTTCAAGCAGGAGTCAGATCGTAATAGACTGAACAATTCATATTATGTGCAAAGGCTGGGGTAGGCACTTTGAGAGAAGATGTAATCTTAATAATTAGACTAAGTTAACATCAGAAACCTTTAAATAATGAAACATTCAGCATTTGTTAAAATTCTAAAAAGCATGAC